GATATGCGAAATGTGGCAATACTAGAACGTGTACAGAATATTTTCTACGGACATTACAGACATTTTTACAGGACATTTTTTGCGAAGCTTTGAGAGAGAGAGAGAAAAAGAGAAAGAGAGAGAGAGAGAGAAAGAGAAAGAGAGAGAGAAAAGAAAAGACAGAAACGGTCACAACGTTCTTTCTTTTCAAGACACGTTCTCTGCGCTTGTTATACCCGAGACCATTCGTGACGCGCTTTTCCCGTATTGGGTTAAACGCGATTCACGAAGGGTGGCGTGTATGCCGGCGCCTCTCGTGCTCGTTATCGTCCAGTTCGCGAAATGTGCCCCGCCGCGTGCCCTCGCGTATCGAGATAATCGTAATTATTTCCTTTGATTTTTTTCACGGCATATGTACCCACGCGAAACAAATTCGGGCGATGCGCTCGATAGAGCCGCTCGTAATTACATTTCGGGATCCGTCAACTTTACTCATCTTCTCGTCGATGTTTTTGCTCGTTGGAATAATCACAGGGATGCTACGGCCAAGACACAAAAGTTTTTATTTGTGTATACATCGATTTTCATGTCCCTTACGTTCCTCGCCCGCTACGCCAATTGTTAATCCTAGCGAGAAAAACTTTAATTCAATTGAGACGAGCAATGAATATATCGCGAAAATATAAGTAAATACAGAAGGGTATATTCAGAGTCTTACTTTAATATTTAGAGTTAATGATAGATTTGAAACATTTTTAATTTTCTCTCTTTCCGTCTCTTCCTCTTTTTGCCTAACTTGTACTGACAAAAAATCGAACATTAAAAAAATAACTTATATCATAATAGAAAAAATGAAAAGGATTTATTTAAACGTTTGTAAGAGAAAATAAAAAATAATTTTATAATGATATATAAAAATCAAAAATTCAGCTTTATATTCAAATACTAAAAAAATCCAATTAATTCTTTCTAACGCATCCATTTTTGCAGATTAAATAACTAAGTTTTTGCAATAAAAATTATGTGCTTTGTAAAGTCTTGAGTAGTATCATCATCTTCAATAAAAATGCAAAATTATGTCATTTATAGAAAAATTTCAGATCTTTGTAAAAAAAAATTAAATTTTGTATATAATATCTTACATAATATAATGCAAAACATTTTCATGATATTTACATATTTGTTTTATGAGATACAAAATGCCTTTTATGTATAATTAGTTTAGCACATCAACAAGTAAAACATTAAGCATACAGAGAACAAAAGATTATGTACTACTACTGACCTTATTACTATTTAATTTATATCCCTAGCCCGAGGATGCTACAGCATATTTATTCATCATTTTCATCTTGTACAGGAAACGCGCCACGTTAAACACGAAATTTGCGAAATTAGCAGCTTGCGGTTGTTTGTTCTGTATTCACATATTTCCGTGCAAAGATACTCGCCCTTGTATTTCTCACGACACTGCGAGCACTTTATACTGCGCGACGCGACATATCGATGAATATTTAAGCTGGTAGTTAACCGTCACATATAATATTAACAACTCTGTCAGTGCGCGGTCCAATTAAGCTAAAACGCAAATAATATTTTAATATTTCACACATATGGCGCGTTAAGAACATCAGCAACCATTCTATGAACATATCGTCCGTAAGAAATATTTGTTTAAAATCAGACCGCTTTGAGTATCTCCCATATGACATTTATTGCCAAGAATAGCGCTATAACAGCATGCGGAAGGTTTCAAATGAATTCGAACCCCGTACGATGCTTGTCACATTTTGATGACGCCATGCTTGAGGATAAGGATGAGAATACCGTATGTATAATTCGCACGATAAATGCACTGGCATTTAATAATGAACATATAAGATATTCGAAAATTGCTCTACCCATTTTACTTGTTGATTTTGCAATAAATTTCAATTAATGAAAACTTGATGGATAACCATCGCTTTTGAGAGATTTTTAATATTAGATATCCTGATAGTTTTATGTGTAAAATTAAATTTCTTTATTAAGGCAAAGCTTAATTACAATTAACTTGCAAGCTTGTAAGTACTTTTATTCATATGAATTTATTATTACAAGAACTCTTGAAACTCGTTTAATAAACGTTGTAAAGTTATTTTTATATATAAAATACAATCTAATTTGTATGTATGTATGTGTGAGTGTAATATATATCTGGATATTGAAGCCCCTCTTATATAAATGTGCAGGCGTTTTAATATTTTGCTGGCTACATATTGTACATGAAAAGTCATATTATTATCAAAAATTATATGCTGCTACCGGATACAGATAAAAACTTTTAGCATTATAAATGTTCAAATATTCACGTTCGAATATTTGAAATACAGAATGGTCAATAAAACAGTTTGAAAACGGATTTTATTGAATCACCTTTATACGAGCGTATGCGAATGTTTCTAGAGATATGAATTTTTGTTCTTAATATATTTCACGACACGTACGCATCATGAATAAAAGATTAAACATATTCTGATTCTTGCACTAGAGCTGCATATCATCAAATACAGCTTATCATCAAATGCAGTTAAATAATTAGATATGACATGAAATTTTTATCAAAAAGATTAAGAAAGATTTAAGATAATTAAAACATATTAGATTATTATCTAATTTTAAAAAACTGAAAATTTTTCATAACTTTGTTAAAAGTTATATTAACATTATTTTAATCATATATTTTTAATAATATAGCTAAAAAAAGAAATAGAGAGTTTAAAATAAAACAAAATATAAAATAATATTCTAATATATTTTCTTTACTTTCAAAATATCTCTGTTTTTTTTATAAATGCTGCCAAATACAATGTTATTGATTTTATTCATAATTCTATTATATTATCGGGAAAGTAGCTTCTTTCGAACCATAAGCACTCGTCCATGTGAAATGGCCGTGACAAGAAAATATAGGTGTAGGTTTATATATCCACAAAGTATAAGCTAATCGATATTTATCGATCGCCTTACCAAAGGCGTGCAAAGGACACGCTAACAAGAATCCTTCGACACACGCAATCACTCTTCGATAAACCCTCATACATGTACCTTTCGTTTATTGACAGTTGCTGATTAAATGAAGCAAAGAATATAATACTTGAGAAAGAGATGAAGAAGAATATCGTCTAATGCAATACATGTGTATACGTTTATTATTTGCAAATATAATATCACAAAATTATATCATCAAACGTCATATCTATTACATGTATTAATATATATATATA